TACCCCCAGCCCCAGCACTTTCCCACCATCCCCATCCACCCCCACATCTCCTCATCCTCATCCTCACCCCCCATTCTCATCAGCACCCGTCCCTATCCCCACCCAAACCCCCCATCTCTCCATCCTCATCATCACCCCCGTTCCCATCCCCCATCCCACACCTCCCCATCCTCACGAGAATTCCCCATTCCCATCCCATCCATCCCCCCCATCCCCATTCCCATGCCCTTCTTCCCTATCCCCCTCATCCCAGTGACCCCCGGGAAATGAGGGGGGCTGGAAATGGGGGCAGGAGGGCTGGGGCATTGGGAGGATAATGGGGACTGGGGAATGTGGGGGACCTGAGGTAACGGGGGAAATGGGGCATCGTGGGGGCTGGGGCAAAGATGGAGAATGGAAATGGGAGCTCTGGGGAAATGGGAAGGTCTGGGGCACTGAGGGGTCTGGGGCACTGGGGGGGCATTGGAGGGTCTGGGGCACCGGGGATTCCTGCTCTGGGGCAATGGAGGCCAAGCCTGGCCAACACTCGGGAATTATTCCAGAGAGACGGAGCCAGGATGATGCTCCAGAGCCTTCACCTGCTCCAGGCACAGCATCCTCACAGCCGTGACCTCCCTGTCTCTGGGTATGTGACTTCATTCCCAGCTGGCATCCCCGTCCCAGTCCTTCCCAGCTCTGGGGAGCACAAGCCAAATTCCCAACAGCTTTATCCGTGCTCACAGTGCAAGGGAAGTCTCCCCCCGAGTTGGGATTTGTTAAAAAAGCTGGAAATCTGCTGATTTTTTTTTTTTTTTTAATCAGGACTGTTAATTTCCAGGCTCATCCCCAAGCTGGGATGTCCCTTCTCTGTCCTGTCCCCAAGGCTGGCTGATAGGGGAGCTCAGAGGGACCCCCGGGGTGGGAAATGACATCAAGAACTGCCAGGGAAGGGAAGGCAAGGGAAGGGAAGGGAAGGGAAGGGAAGGGAAGTGAAGGTTTCAGTCCTCCATTACCTTATGTCTTGAAGTGTTGAGAGAGTAGATATTTTTTCCTGTTTAACTTGGTAATAAGTAGGGAATGGAACAAAAGAGCAGAGGTAAACAACTGTACACTGAGTAGAAGTTTCTTCAGAGTGGCTGCTGGAACTTGCAAGAGCCACTCCTGCTGTAAAGGAATCTCAGTGGAGAAGGGCAGTATAAGCAGAAACTCGGAAGGGAAGGGAAGGGAAGGGAAGGGAAGGGAAGGGAAGGGAAGGGAAGGGATTTTAGGTATTCACCAAACCTCACGCTTCCCAAAAACCCCTAGGGCAGCCTGTGGGATAGCTCCCATGCTTGGAGCTGGCTATGGTCTGAGAGGTGGATGAACATTCCAGACATTGGGAATGGCACAGTCCGTCCATATAAAACTATGTGGTAATCTTTTAATTGACTTCTCTGGGTTTTCTCCATGAGAAAAGAGTTTGGAGTGACTCAGAGTCTGTAAACTGGGTTAATGTTCCCTCGGTGCCAAAGGTGCTCTTCCAGGCACGACATCCTGCTGGGAAGGGAGAGGGAATGCCCTGGCACGGCTACTCCAGCCTGGCAAACCAACACCCCTGCACCACCCAGGGGTTTCCCACCTAATTCCCCCAAAACCATCCCACGAGCATTCATTGCACCAGCTCGGGGTGAGCTGTCCCACAGGAGCCTCTGGGTATCAGCACTGGGATTTCTTGGTTATTAATGGGGCAAAGAACTTCTTCAGCTCCACACGGGGAGGGGGAGCCCTGGGATTTCAGCTCTCAAGCACCTCTTTAATCCTCTGTGGAAGAGCAGCTCTGTCCCATCACTCTGTCCTACCACCCTTGTCCCTTCAACCCTGTCACCATCACCTCTGTCCATCACCTCCGTTCCCATCACCTCTGTCCTGTCATCCCTGTCACCACCATCCTTGTCACCACCATCTCTGTCCCCACCATCCTGTCCCATCACCTCTGTCATCATCATCTCTGTCCTATCATCCCTGTTCCATCAACTCTGTCACCACCTCTGTCACCATCACGTCTGCCCCATCATCTGTCTCGTCTCCATCACCACCATTCCTGTCACCACCCCCCGGCCCATCATCCCTGTCCCCACCACCTCTGTCCCACCATGCCTGTCCTATCAACACTGTCATCACTTTTGTCACCACCATGCCTGTCCCATCTTCCCTGTCCCATCATCTCCATCCCATCATCCCTGTCCCATCACCTCTGTCCCATCATCCCTGTCCCACCACCTCTGTCCCCTCATCTCCACCCAGGAGGGAAATCAGAGCCATCCCAGGGGCATGCACCCATCAGTTTAACCCCATTAAACAACACCCCAAAGATTAACCCTGCTCTGGAGCCTGGGATTTATTAATGATGGGAAAACCCCTGGAAAAATCCATGGAGGAGGAGAAGAGCCTGCTCCAGGCGAAGGCAGATCCGGGGGGAGAGCAGCAGCTCTGGATCCAGGACGTGCAGGAAAATCGCAGCTCCCGGCTGTTCCCAGGTGCCCGGGAAGGAGCTGGAGGCTCCGGAGGGAAGGGCCATCTGTCACGGCTGTCACGTGCCCACAGGGACAGCTGAGGCCGCTGACCTCAGCCTCCAGCTCCTGCTTGCCTTCATGGGGCTGCAGGGGAAAAAAGGGGGAAAAACCCCAGGAAAGCAGCACCCCCCAGCAGATGTTTGGGGTTTTATAGGATCCACCCTGGAGCTCTTGATGTTTTCACTTCCCTTGGCAGCAACAGCATTTTTATAGGGAGTTTTTTGCCTGCCCTGTACCTCTACTTCCCAATGGATTGCTTCCCATCCTCACTCCACCTGTGTTTTCCTCTCACTCCTGCCTGCTTTCCTTTCTGGGGTCAGAGCAGCAGCAGAGCATCGCTCCAGCAGCCTGGGCTCATTCTGCCCTCAAAGCTCCTTCTCGACAGGAGGCTCCAGGGGTTCTCCAGAGGCACTGGGAAGCAGCAGGTACAGGGATAAAGGCGTTTTGCTCTGGCAGCCACCTCTGGAGATTGCTGCTCCTGTTGCACCGGGAGGATCCCAGATCTCCTCTCCTCAGGTGTCCCTGCACCCAAAGGTGCCCCTCTCATCCCATCGGTGTTCCCAGGGCAGGTGCAGTGTTTTCCCAAAACCTTAATCCAGCAATTCCTGCTGCCGATTTCCCTGGGACGGCCGGCACCACCCTGCTCTGGTGAACACCAGCACCGTGCTCTTCCCACAATCGCAGAATCATGGAATAGGTTGGGTTGGAAGGGACCTTGAAGGACACCTCGTTCCATGCCCTGCTGTGGGCAGGGACAGCAGGATGAGGGATTCTCCCTCTCCACTCAGGTGAGATCCCAGGGGGAACTCTGCATCCAGCCTGGGCCCAGCACAGGAGGGACCTGGAGCTGCTGGAGAGCCCAGAGGAGCCATGGAGGTGCCCCAAGGGCTGGAGCCAGGCTGGAGAGCTGGGGGTGCTCACCTGGAGAGGAGAAGGCTCCAGGGAGAGCTCAGAGCCCCTTGCAGGGCCTGAAGGGGCTCCAGGAGAGCTGGAGAGGGACTGGGGACAAGGGATGGAGGGACAGGACACAGGGAATGGCTTCCACTGCCAGAGGGCAGGGATGGATGGGATATTGGGAATTAGGAATCGTTCCCTGGCAGGGTGGGGAAGGGCTGGGATGGCGTTCCCAGCGCAGCCCGGCTCCCACTGCCAGAGGCCAGGGCTGGATGGGATATTGGGAATTAGGAATCGTTCCCTGGCAGGGTGGGGAAGGGCTGGGATGGCGTTCCCAGCGCAGACCCCGGGATCCCGGAATCCCTGGAAGCTGCCGGGATTTTCCCGGGCCGGCGGAACCCGCCCGTCCCCTCACGCCGGCCCCGCCCCCGCGCTCTCGCGCGCTTGGCGGCGCTCTCGCGAGACTTCCCAACATGGCGCCGGCGGGCAGCGCGAACCTGCCGTGGTACGGCCGGGAGCGGGGGGATACCGGATAACGGGGTACCGGGATAACGGGGTACCGGGATAACGGGGTACCGGGATACCCGGGATACCGGGGTACCGGGATACCGGGATAACGGGGTACAGGGATAACGGGATACCCGGGTACCGGGATACCGCGATAACGGGGTACCGGGATAACGGGGTACCGGGATAACGGGGTACCGGGATACCGGATAACGGGATAACGGGGTACTGGGATAACGGGGTACCGGGATAGCAGAATACCGGGATAACGGGGTACCGGGATAACGGGGTACCAGGATAATGGGGTACCAGGATACCGGGATAGATAACGGGGTACCGGGATAACGGGGTACCGGGATACCGGGATAACGGGGTACCGGGATAACGGGGTACAGGGATAACGGGATACCGGGATAGCGGGGTACCGGGATAACGGGGTACCGGGATAACGGGGTACCAGGATAATGGGGTACCAGGATACCGGGATAACGGGGTACCGGGATCACGGGGTACGGGCAGCGCGAACCTGCCGTGGTACGGCCGGGAGCGGGGGGATACCGGATAACGGGGTACCGGGATACCGGGATAACGGGGTACCGGGATAACGGGGTACAGGGATAACGGGATACCGGGATAGCGGGGTACCGGGATAACGGGGTACCGGGATAATGGGATAACGGATACCGGGATAACAGGGTACCGGGATACCGGGATATCGCGGCGGGAGCTGCCCCGGGGCTCACTCCCCTCCTTTCCTTGCCCGCTGCAGGGTGGAGAAGTACCGTCCGCAGGCGCTGTCCGAGCTGGTGTCGCACCGGGACATCCTCAGCACCGGTAATGAATCCCTCCCCGCGCCGGTCCCGGCTGTCCCCCAGCCCCGGTGTCCCGCTGCTATCCCCTTGTTATCCCGTTGTTATCCCGTTATCCCGCAGTGCAGCGCTTCATCAGCGAGGACCGGCTCCCCCATCTGCTCCTCTATGGGCCGCCCGGGACCGGGAAGACATCCACCATCCTGGCCTGTGCCCGGCAGCTCTACCGGGAGCGGGAGTTCGGCTCCATGGTGCTGGAGGTGAGCGGGAACACGGCGGGATGGGATGGGGTGGGGTGGGGGGGGATGGGATGGGATGGGATGGGATGGGACAAGATGGGTTGGAATGAAATGGGATGCAGGGATACAGATCCACACCATTCCCTTCCAGCTCAACGCCTCCGATGACCGGGGCATTGACATCGTGCGAGGGCCCATCCTGAGCTTCGCCAGCACCAGGACCATCTTTAAGTACGTGGTGGGTCTGTGCTTCCCAAAGCTCCCCATCTCTTTGGCATTGTCCTGCCCTGGCACTTGGATTGGGAAGGGATTTGGGAGGCCCCCGGGTGGATGGGAATGTGCCCGGGAAGCAGGGAGGGTGAGGGTGCAAGAAGGGCTTCCCAGGAGCCAGGCTGGGAACAAACATCCAGCTCCCCCTCCTCTAGCACCAAACCCCCCTTTTCCTAGGAAAGGCTTCAAGCTGGTCATCCTGGATGAAGCTGATGCCATGACCCAGGATGCTCAGAACGCCCTGAGGAGAGGTGAGGGCACGGGGAGCCCCACACTGTGAGCAGCCATCGGCCTCATCCAGCCGGGCACAGGGTGGGAACCAGGACGAGGCAACACCCAAGGACCCTCCTCCCCGTGCTCCTTTTTGCAGTGATCGAGAAGTTCACAGAAAACACCCGGTTCTGCCTCATCTGCAACTACCTGTCCAAGATCATTCCCGCCCTGCAGTCCCGCTGCACCCGCTTCCGCTTCGGCCCCCTGACCCCGGAGCTGATGGTGCCGCGGCTCCAGCACGTCATCCAGGAGGAGGGGTGAGTGGGGATCCCCCTGTGCCCCACTCCCTGCCAGGGAGGAGCAGCAGGCTGGATTCCCCAGCTGCCCACGTGGTGTTTTCCAGGGTGGACGTGACCGAGGACGGGATGAAGGCTCTGGTGACCCTCTCGAGCGGGGACATGCGCAGGGCCCTCAATATCTTGCAGGTGGGACTGTGGCCATCAGCCCCAGGCCAGCTGAGCTGGAGGGGCTTCTTCATCCTTCCTGTTCCCTCCTCTTCCTCAGAGCACCTCCATGGCCTTTGGGAAGGTGACAGAGGAGAACGTCTACACCTGCACGGGACATCCCCTCAAGTCTGACATCGCCAACATCCTCGACTGGATGCTGAACCAGGATTTTTCCACAGCCTACCGCAGTATCCTCCACCCTGGGGGTTATTCCCAGCTGGGATAAATCCTGCTCCTTCCCAGGGATCTCTGTGGCCTCTGGGGTGGGTGCTGCTCGCTGGGGAGGCTCTTGGGATTGCTGTGAAGGTGAGGATGGGATCTGGCAGGGAAATGCCTGGAAGCAAGGCCTTGACTCACTCTCATCCCAGAAATCATGGAGCTGAAGACGCTGAAGGGCCTGGCCCTGCAGGACATCCTCACTGAGATCCATCTCTTCGTGCACAGAGGTGGGGAAAGGGTCCAGCTCTGGATGATCCTGGAGAGGCCAAACTCCCCTGCCCTTCACTGAGTGTTTCCTTTTCTCCACAGTCGACTTCCCCCCCTCCATCCGCATCCAGCTGCTGATCAAGCTGGCAGACATCGAGTAAGTGTCACTGCCCCAGCCTGGGGACCCTGGGGTGGCTCCTGGTGGTCACTGGGCACTGCTGGCACACAGCCCGTGGCTTTGGGGGGCACCCACAGTGGTGGAAACCCCCAAAGCTGCCCTTGGCCCCTCTCCAGGTACCGCCTGGCCGCTGGCACCAGCGAGAAGATCCAGCTGAGCTCCCTCATCGCCGCCTTCCAGGTCACCAGGGACCTGGTGGTGGCTGAAGCCTGATCCTGCCAGGTGGATCTGCTGCTGGATTTGGGAAGGACCGTCAGCCCCATGCCTGGAGCTGCTCCCTGCAGCTTCCCGGTTCCTTTTTGGAAGCCTTGAATGACCAGTAAGGGTAAAAAGGTTGTTAAAAGGTAGCATTATTCCCAATGGGAAAATACAGGTGCCTCCAAAGCCCAGCAGGTTGCACTGGTCTTTGCTTTTCCCTCCTGAAGGGAGGTGGGGGGTTAGGGGTGCACCAGCTTTCTGTGTTCAGCTGTTCCCAAGGGAAAAACAACATCCTGGCAATGTTTGGAGGAGAATTCCCTCCACAAAGTCTGCCAGCACACAAGGGAACGTGCTGTTGCTCCAGCCACCAGCTAAGCTGGAGGATGGGGACAAACAAAACACTTCTGCATGCTCAGCATGTCTGGGAATTTGGCTGATGGAGTGCCACGCTCCAGCACGGAGAGAAAACAACAGAGGAATGGGAGCAGGGGGTGGAGTGAAGCCACCTCTTCCCACAGATGGACACCTCTGCCACCCCTCCCTGGCAGCCAGGGCGGTGCCAGGCACTCCCAGGTCACCTGAGCGAGCCAGCAGGGAAATCATGAGGAATCAATTTTTATTTATTGAGACCTGCTCGGGCTTGTCCCGCTCCTGCCCACGCCGGGAGAGCGGCAGAGCCCGCGCTCCACTGGCATGGAGGGACATTCCCAGGTGGGTGTTTTGGGGGGGTTTAGCCCCATATTTGTGCAGGTGACAACAGCTCTGCTCCCACAGCAGCTGTTCCACCATCATCCCACACCATTGCACTCAGAAGCAGAAGCACCTGACCCAACCCAGCAGGCAGCAGGGGACAGGGGGACCTGTGTCCCACCCATGTCCCCTGCAGGGCCACCGCGGCTCTCTGCGTGGGATTTTGCTGGGTTTTTGTATTATGACACCAAAAAAAGCCCTCCACAGCCCCAAAACCACGGGAGCAGCAACGCTCCTGGCTCACGGCTCGGCGTTCCTGCGGCGCCACCTGCCCGGGCCGAGCCCCGGGGCTCACCTCCGTGCCTCTGCTCCCCCTGCTGCCTTAAAAAGTCCTGTAAGTGAGGAATTCCTTCAGCTTCCTGGGAATGGGCAGCGCCAGCACCTGGTAGGTTGTGAGGAAGGTGCGCAGGGCTTTGCGGCACAAGTGCTTGAGCGACGAGAGGACCCTCGGGGCTGTCCAGAACTGGACGTGGCCATCCCTGGTCCTGCAATGGGATCCAAACAACCCTGAGCACAGGGCAGAGGGACACGAAGAATTCCAGCTGTCCCCAAATATTGCCAAGTTTGCCAGGAGCGTGTGTTCCCCAGCCCAGGAAAAAACTGTCCCCAGGGAAGCCCAGAATTTGCTGAGCTCAGGAGGAAGGAGCAGCCCTGTGCTTCTCCACCCTCTTCTCCTGTTTACTCACCCTGTGGCAATGAATCCTCCGTGTGGGAAGTACATGCAGCACAGACCGTTGGTCATGGGGGCAAAGGCCACTGGAGACCGCAGCTCCAAGGCCCAGATCCTCAGGAGCCTGTGGAGAACGGGAGAGGACACACACAGTGCAGTGCCTGCTGCCAAAATAAAGCCTCTGGGATCCCCTGAAGACACAGAAACCAGAAGGATTTGCTTCCCAGAGGTGTGTTCCAGTGAGGACTGTCCCCTGCTGAGCAAGTGACATCTGAGGGTGGCACAGTAGGACATGGACCTCAGCTCAGGGTGACAGGGCCCTGACCTTCCTACCCCTTGTCACAGCCAAGCCATGGTGTTCCCACGGCCCTGACCTTTCCCCTTATCTCAGGAATTGGTGGGGACCTGGAGCATTTACTCCCCACCTCCTGAGATCCTGGTTCATTCTGGTCTCCTCCTGGGCCCCTCTCTGGGTCCCCACAGGGGTTCACTCACCTGTCATCTGCCACCGTGGCCAGGTAGAGCCCCTCGGGGGAGAAGCAGACGGAGCGCAGGGAGCTGCTGTGGATTTCACTGCTGGAGTCCAGCGTGGAGTGCAACGGGACATGGCTGTGGGTGGGGACAACATCCCAGCATCAGCTCTGAGCTGCCACCAGCCCCTTCCCCAGCTGAGGCTGGCAGAGCTGCCAAACTTGGCAAGCCAGACCCCCATGCTGCCTCTGGAAGCAGAGGAGTGGTGACGGCTGTGCCCAGCGAGAAGGGAAAGCCACATCCAGCCCTAAAAACCTCCCTGGCATTGCTCTGTCCTGTCCCACAGTGTCCCCATGGTCCATACAACAGTGCAGACATGGTGGCTGTGCCCATCCAGTCCTAAAAACCTCCCTGGCATTGCTCTGTCCTGTCCCACAGTGTCCCCATGGTCCATACAACAGTGCAGACATGGTGGCTGTGCCCATCCAGCAGGGAAAGCCACATCCAGCCCTAAAAACCTCCCTGGCACTGCTGTGTCCCCTCTCAGGCCCTACCGCAGTGTCCTGAGCTGCTCCCCAGTGTAGGGGTCCCACATGATGACACAGGCGTCGTAGGAAGCGGTGACAAGGAGCGCGGAGTCCGGGGAGAAGTCACAGGAGACCACGCTGCTCTGGTGGCCCTCCAGCCTCCGGATGAGGGTGTAGGATCTCATGCTCCACAGCAGTGCCTGCAGGATTTGGGCAGGGGATCAGGCTGGGAGCATGCCAAGGTTTAAACCACATGGGCCCTGCTCCCAACTTCCAGCTCCTGAGAAGCCAGGGCAGGATGGCCTGGCCCTTCTCCCAGGGGGCTTTCTGGGGGCACAGAGGGCTGGATTCAGCAGGCACAGGGATGGCTCCCATCCTGCAGGACTCACCGACTTCTCACCAGCGGCGGAGCAGAGCATGCTGCAGTCTGGAGAGATGGAGCAGCAGTAGACCCACTGCACGTGGCCCGACAGCACCTGCACCTGCCGCCCTGGGGACAGCAGAAATGTGTCACCAGAGGGGAACAGGACTCCTTGGCTCTGCTCTTCTCCCTTTCCCCAGTGGGAATTCACATTGGGCTGGGGATTCCCTGGGTAAATCCCAAGGTAATGCCCTCCTGCATCTCCCAGGTTACACTCTGCTCCCAGTCATGTGGCTGTCCCCTTCTGTTGCAAATACTGTCCCCAAAGGTCCTCTGCCACCACCTTCCCCCCTGAGACGGGTCTTTCCCCCTTCCCTGACCCAGCACAGGGATATTCCTGCACGTTCCTACCATCCCTGCTGAGGTCCCACACACGCAAGGTCTTGTCCCGCGAGGCCGACACGAGGATGGGGCTTCCATTGGGAGCGAAGCTCAGGTCCCTGACAACATCCTGGTGTCCCAAGAGGCTGAAGAGGAGGTGCCCTGCAGAGAGGAGCCAGGCTCAGTGCCATCCATCCACAGGGAATGAGGCAGAGCCCCTCGTGCAGCCCCGTTTGGGACAGGGCAGGTATTGGGGAGGGAGGGAGATGGGATCTCCTTCCACAGGGGAACAAGGGACAGCCAGCCTGAAGCCACGACAGCGAGGGCTGCTCACCTGTCTGCACCTCCCACACCTTGATCTGCCCATCGTTGAGCCCGGTGGCCAGGACCAGGCAGGGAAGCCCCACAGCACAGGCAGGATCTGTGTCCCCATCCTCAGCTGCTGGCCAGGCACTGAAGGCCAGGCCCCACACGATCTGCCCACACTCCAGAGTCTTCTCCTTGGCTGCCCCACGGCTCCAGGTCTCTGCTTTGCCACCCCGGCTCTTGCGCTCTGAGCTTTTGCAGCTGCTGGAGGGAGACAGGGATGGGTGGAGTGCTCACCCCAAGAACCCCCAGCCCAACTCCATGCACCCATCTTCACCCCACACTGGAAAACCCCTGGGATCAATCCAAACTGGGGAATGAATGGATGGAGAGCAGCACTGGGAGGACTTTGGTGCTGGTGGGTGAAGGCTCAAACACCCTGGGCTGATCCCCAATGTGGGGCAACAGGAAAGGAGAGGGAATTCTGCCCCTCTGCCCCACTCAGGTGAGACACCACCTGCAGAGCTGCCCCAGCCCTGGGGTTCCCACCAGCAGAAGGACATGGAGCTGATGGATTGAGACCAGAGGAGGAGATGCTCCAAGGGCTGGAGCCAGGCTGGGAGAGCTGGGAATGTTCACCTGGAGAGGAGAAGGCTCCAAGGAGACCTCAGAGCCTCTTGCCCCTAAAGGGGCTCCAGGAGAGCTGGAGAGGAACTGGGGACAAGGGATGGAGGGACAGGACGCAGGGAATGGCTTCCCACTGCAGGGATGGGTGGGATATTGGGAAGGAATTGTTCCCTGGGAAGGTGGTCAGGCCCTGGCACAAGGTGCCCAGAGCAGCTGTGGCTGCCCCTGGATCCCTGGCAGTGCCCAAGGCCAGGCTGGAGCAGCCTGGGACAGTGGAAGGTGTCCCTGCCATGGCAGGGTGGGACTGGATGAGCTTTGGGGTCCCTTTTAACCCAAGCCATTCCACGACTCCGCACTCACAGCTCGGCCTCCCCCAGAGGCCACGGGATCAGCTTGACCACGCAGTGTCCCTGGGACCAGGCGAACCAGGCCCCGTCGGGGGAGAAGGCGACGCTCCAGGTCTCGCAGCTGGATTTCCAATCGTAGCGCTGGGGCCGGCCCGGCTTCAGCTCCGCCAGCAGCACCGGCTCCTCTGCGGCGGGACAGCCCCGTTACCCCCGGAGCCCCCAAAACCGCCGTCACCTCACACCCCCAGCCCCCGCGTCCCCGCCCGGCTCCCGCTCACCTCCGCTCGGCTTCATGGTGGCCCCGCCGCCCGCTCGGCCCCGCCGGGCCCGCCCGGCCCAGGGCGGCGGCGGCGGAAGCGGCGGCGCGGGGAGGGGACCTGGAGCCGCCTCCTCCGGCCCCGCCGCCACCGGCACCGCCCCGCGACCGGCATGGGCGGGAGAGCGCCGGGAACGGCCCCCTGAGGGAGAAACGGCGGGAGCCGGGCCTGCCCCAGCCGCCGGGCCCGGGGCAGCCACCCCCTCAGAGACCGGCACCGGGACACCTCCGGCAGGGACACCCTCAGGGACCCACACCGGGACCCCTCCGCAGCCGCCCCCTCAGAGTCCGGCACCGGGACACCTCCGGCAGGGACACCCTCAGGGACCCACACCGGGACCCCTCCGCAGCCGCCCCCTCAGAGTCCGGCACCGGGACACCTCCGGCAGGGACACCCTCAGGGACCCACACCGGGACCCCTCCGCAGCCGCCCCCTCAGAGTCCGGCACCGGGACACCTCCGGCAGGGACACCCTCAGGGACCCACACCGGGACCCCTCCGCAGCCGCCCCCTCAGAGTCCGGCACCGGGACACCTCCGGCAGGGACACCCTCAGAGACCGGCACCGGGACACCTCCGGCAGGGACACCCTCAGGGACACCTCCGGCAGGGACACCCTCAGGGACCCACACCGGGACACCTCCCTCCAGTGACACCCTCAGGGACACCTCCGGCAGTGACCCCCTTAGGGACCCACACTGGGACACCTCCGGCAGTGACCCCCTTAGGGACCCACACTGGGACACCTCCGGCAGGGACACCCTCAGGGACCCACACCGGGACACCTCCGGCAGTGACACCCGGCCCCAGCAGCACCCTCACGGGGACAGCCCCTGGCAGTGACAGCCCCCCAGGATCCACAGGGTGACACCCCCTGGCAGTGACACCTCCCCAGCACCCACACCGGGACACCTCCCGGCAGTGACACCCTCAGGGACCCAACACCCTCACAGGGACACTCCCCGGCAGTGACATCCCCCCGAACCCACACAGGGACACCCCCTGGCAGTGACACCCCCAGAATCCAGCACCCCCTGGATGACACCCCCCAATTCAGCAGCCCCCAAAAGATCAGCACCCCCATATCCATCCCCCTCCAGCAGCCCCCAAGGATCTCATTGCGCCCCCCTTTAGCAGCACCCCGATCACCCCGTGCCCCACATCATCCCCCCCGAATCAGCACCCCATCATCATCCATCCAGAACCAGCACCCCATCATCAACCCCCCCAGAATCAGCACCCCATCATCAGCCCCCCAAGAACCAGCGCCCCTCCTTTGAGCCCCTCCAGCACCCCCTGGCTGACACCCACCCTGGCAATGCCAGCAGGACACAGCTGGCCAGTCCACCCTTGCACCCCGAATTCCGCAGCCCCCCAAGCCCCCGCTGTGCCTCACCAGGGGCACAGATGCCCCCCAGTGCCCCCATCCTCTCTGGCTCGGGGTCCCTGGTGCAGCGAGGCCGGGGTGCAGGGAGCGGTGGGATTGGGGTGCTGCACCCACAGACACCCCAAGACCTGCTGGAGTCCCCCCGGTTTGGCTCAGGGTGTCCCCTCTGAGGGCTGGGGTCACCCGGAGGTCCCTTGGGGGTCCCATGCACCTCCTTCCTCCCCTCATCCCCAAGTCCAGTGTTCATCTACTCCCTCCCTACTCTGGCGCTTTGGGGTCCAGACCGAGCCCCCCACCCGGGGGTCACCCACCTCTTATGACATGACGAAGCCCCTCACCACATGTGCCCCCGCTCTGCCGTGGCCCCGTGCCTCAGTTTCCCCGCCTCTAGGACGGAGGGTGGCTTTGCTCTCTGGTCGCTGGCCCGCGATGGGACCCCGCGGTGGGCACGGTGCCACCTCCCCCGCGCTCGCCCTCCGCCCTGTGCCCGCCTGGCGCAGGTGGGAGCGAAGCGGCAGCAAAGGCAGCCGAGAAGAGGAAAGAGGAAGAAGCGGCGGCGGCGGAGGAGGAGGAGGAGGAGGAAGAGGGGGCCGGTGCCGGCAGCCCCGCCGGCGCTTTGCGGGGGCTCAGCGCACCCCCGGGCACCCATCGCAGCCCCCCAGGTGCCCACCCCGAAGTTTGAAGTTCGCCGGCATGGCCAAAAGCACCTCGCTGCGCTGCCGGGTGCTGGAGGGGAAGGACCTGCCCGCCAAGGACCTGTGAGTGGCTCGGGGGCTCAGGGCCCCCCTATTTCCCCCAGACCCACCCCGGGAGATGTGGCGGGGAGGGGGTGCTGGGTGCTCTGCCCTCTCTGGGTGTTCTCTCCGCACAGTTTCGGGGGTCTCTGCTTGCACCAGGTACCCCCAAAGCGGGGGTCTGGGGTGTGCAGGGACTGCCAGCACCACCCCTCCAGGGGTGTATGATCCCCCCAACCCCTTTAGCATCCCTTTCGTGCCCCCCAGCAGGGTGGGCACAGAGGATCCCCCCAAACATGGGGGTGGCACTGGGGGGGCACAGCTCCTGCACCCCCACCCCTTTTGGGGGTGTGGTGATGAGTGGGGGGTGCAGGGTCCCCGCCCGCTCCTGCCCCGGGGACACGGCTCAGCGCAGCTGGCAGTCCCGGGTACCTCCGGATGTGCCAGCTTGGCACCGCCGGCCGCTCCCAGGGCCGGGCAGCCGGGAACGGGGCCGTGTCCCTGCCTCAGATTCTGCCCCCGGGGGGTGTCCCGCTGCGGGGTCTGGGCACAGCGGGCGATCTGCGCAATGATGGGGTGCCCGGTGCCGCTCCCAGCGCCCCCAAACCCAGCTTGGGGCTGTCGTGGGGCTGCAGAGGGGGTCAGGTGAGCCGCTCCCACTTCCCGTCCCGTGGCAGGGACAGAGACTGGGGTCACGTCCCTCATTCGGGGTCTCAGTCCTTGTGGAAGCACTTCCTGCGGATTTGGGGCTCCAGCAGCACCCCAGGGCCGGCACCCCTCGGTGCTGCTCCAGCTGCCATAATCCAGCAGAAAGGGGCTTTGCCGGGAGCGGGTGGATGGTCCCCTGGTCCGTCCCTCATCCCTCAATCCTGTTCTCCCTGCCGAAAGGGTCAGACCGGTGTCACCCTGGCACCGTGGGTTGTCACGGAGACTCGGCTGGGCTGTGCTGCTGGACAGACAGCGGTACCCGCGGGTGGGTGGCACAGGGACACTGCGATGGCTCGGGGTGACCCACAGCAGGTCCTTTAGCCCAAGGAGAAGAGGGGATGCCCCCATCCCGGTGTCAGGGTGGTGTCAGCAGGGCTAAGACCTGGCAGCTCAGCTCACCCCCGGGGCTGGCGCCTCACTGTCAGGGTTTGAGACCCCCAGGATCGGGGGGGACTCCGAGTGGGGGCTGATCCTGGGCACCCCCATCCCCTGCCCAGGTCTGGCTCCAGCGATCCCTACTGCGTGGTCAAGGTGGACAACGAGGTGGTGGCCAGGTACGGGGACACTGTCCCACACTGGGAGGGGGCAGGCAGGAGTGGGGGATCCTCCCTGGGGGGACAGCCACCTCTGCCACCCCGGCAGGACGGCCACCGTGTGGAAGAGCCTGAACCCTTTTTGGGGTGAGGAAATCACGCTGCTTCTGCCCCGTGGATTCCACAGCCTCACCATCTACGTGCTGGATGAAGACACCATTGGGTAGGGGGACAGCACGGGCAGGGTGGGCACTGGGGACCCCCCGAGGGGTGGCAGGTCCCCAGCAGTGCCCTGCTGTGTCTGTTCCCTCACAGGCAGGACGATGTCATTGGCAAGGTCTCGCTCAGCCACCAGCAGATCTCAGCTGAGCCGCGGGGTGAGGGGGGCACAGTGGGGTGGGGGACAGCGGGACTCATGCTGGCACCGCGGGGTGCCCACACTGTCCCCCTCGGCAGGCATCGACAGCTGGCTCAGCCTGGCACCTGTGAACCCCGACCAGGAGGTGCAGGGCGAGATCCACCTGGAGCTGCGAGTCCCCGAGCGGGGCCACCCGCGGGTGCTGCGCTGCCACCTCATCGAGGCCAGGTTGGGGGGCTGGCACCACCACGGGGTCTTATTTTTGGCAGGAGGGAGGAGAGGAGGGGATGGGGACAGTGGTGGCACGGGGTTTGTCCTCCCCTTTCCACACTCGGAAGGATCCTCAGTACACCGGGGTGGGGACATCAGTGGTGCCAATCCACGTGTGACGATGCCATGGGGGCTCAGTGGGAAGTGTGCTGCCATCCCTGCTTGGGGACAGGGGCACAGGAGCACCAGGGTTTGTCCCCAGCAGAATGGTTCATTCTCACATCGTGTTTTTGCCCTTTGGTTTCAAAATTTGGGGAAACTGAGGCAGTGCCCAGGCTGCCCGCCTGGGTTTGGGGTGCAGACGTGTGTGCAAGTTGTGCACGCGTGTGAGCATGCACAGGAACACACGCGCGGTGACACACACACGGTGACACACACACACAGCTGACAGATGGAGCAGGCAGCAGAGGCAGCATCCCGCTGCCATGGCAACCAAAGCAGCTACCAAGGCAACAGGATGGCCATGGGGACAGGGTGGCCATGGGGACAGCCAGGAGGGACGGCAGCACCCCCACTAGGGACTGGAGGAGGAAGGGCTCCCCTGGAAATGGGAGCACCATCTCCCCAGCATCCCCTGGCGCCTGCTGGCTGCCCCATATGCCCAGGCGAGCTGGCACAAAGCGGGGACGTGGGGCTGCAGGACCGTGATGGTGGGGACAAACCCTGCTGACCCCATGTCTTCACAGGGACCTGGCCCCCCGGGACGCCTCGGGCACCTCGGACCCCTTTGGCCGGGTGTCGTGCTGCGGGCACACGTTGGAGACAGCCGTGAGTCACTGCTGGCTGCTGGGTGTGGCACCGGGTCCCCCACGGACCCGGGAGGCTCAGGGCACCTCGTCCCCTCGGCCACCAGTCCCGGTGCCCGCAGGTGGTGAAGAAAACCCGGTTCCCGCACTGGGATGAGGTGCTGGAATTCGAGCTGCCCGAGGGGGAGCTGGGAGAGGCTGTGCTGAGCGTGGAGCTTTGGGACTGGGACATCGTGGGCAAGAACGACTTCCTGGGGCGGGTGAGGACCTCGGGGCACACCGGAACGGGGCAGGGTCCTGGGGGCACCTCTGCACCCCCGTGTGGGGTCTGGGTGACCACCGGTTAGGACCCACCGGCATGGGGGCAGTGCCACATGCAGACCCTGCGTGTCCTGGGCTGTCCCCCGAGGGAGGTGCAGCACAGGGGACTGGCACATGTCCCCCCCACCCAGACCCTGCCCCTGTCCCCCAGGTCGAGTTCTTCTTGGACACCCTCTGCCCAGGCCCCACGAGGGGCTGGTTCCAGCTCCTGCCCTTCCCCAGCACCACCGAGGACCACGGGTGAGTGCAGGCAGAGGGGACAGGGGTTGTGACCAGGGCAGCACGAGGTGACCCCCATGGAGGGCACAGGACCCACGTGAGCCCCCCGTGTCATTGCAGGGGACAGCTGGGTGCCCTGAGGCTGGCAGTGAGGCTGCTGGAGGACACGGTCCTGCCTCCCCACCACTACCAGCCCCTCATCCAGCTCCTCACCGAGCCCATCCTCTGCCCAGCCCAGGTGGGTGCTGGGGCTGCGGGGAACTTTGGGGTGACCACCCCAGCCTGGAGGCCCCGCTGTGCCCACCCTGCCCTCCCCACAGTCCCCTGAGAGCACAGCCCTGGCTGTCCTGGAGGAGGTGACCTCAGGGGAGAGCCGGCAGGACGTGGCCACCAAGTTGGTGAAGCTCTTCTTGTCCCAAGGGCTGGCTGTGCCCCTCCTGGACTACCTCACCACCCGCGAGCTGGCCAGGACCAGTAAGTGCCCAGGGCCACTCCAGTAAGTGCCCAGGGCCATCCCCAAGATCTTCATGGGGATCTGAGCAACCCCAAGCCAGGGTTGCTCCAGATCCCCATGGAGAAAGAGTGAGGACACCAAGGGAGAGGCAGGAAAGGTGCCACATGTCCCTGGGGTTGGGCACACCGGGGACAGCTGGGACGTCACCCTGTGCCCACCTTGCCACAGCCTCTCTGCTCTTCCAGCTGATCCCAACACCCTCTTCCGCTCCAACTCACTGGCCTCCAAATCCATGGAGCAGTTCATGAAGGTGAGCATGGGAAGGGACGCCTCCATGATGTCCCAGCAGGGCATCTGGGGACAAGGACAGTGCCTTCCCACCCCTTGCAGGTGGTGGGGCTGCCCTACCTGCACGAGGTCCTGAAGCCAGTGGTGAACCGCATCTTTGAGGAAAAGAAATATGTGGAGCTGGACCCCGGCAAGATGGAGCTGAGCCGGGGCAGGTGGGCACAGGTGGATGTCTGGGAGTGGCACAGGGCACCTGGCATGTCACTGTGTCCCCTGCAGGGAGGGGGCACCTACTGCTGCTGAGCCCATGGGTCACTTCTGGCCAGCTCAGTGTCCCCATTCCCAGTGTCCCTGACCTGGAGGTGTCCCCACAGGAGGATCTCCTTCAAGGGCTCCCTGTCGGAGGCACAGGTGCGGGAGAGCAGCCTGGAGCTGCTGAAGGGCTACCTGGGGGACATCATCGAGGCCATCGTGGGCTCGGTGGACAAGTGTCCCCTCCCCATGAGGGTGGCCTTCAAGCAGCTCCGCAGGCGGGTGGAGGAGCGATTCCCCTCGGCACAGCACGAGGTGGGGCCCACGGCAGGGCTGGGGGTCTGCACGGCCCCAGGACCACCACCCCAAGCTCTGGGCTGTCCCTGTCCCCTGGGCTGTCCCTGTCCCCATCCAGGAGGTGCGGTACTTCTCCATCAGTGCGTTCCTCTTCCTTCGCTTCTTCGCTCCCGCTGTCCTCACCCCGAAGCTCTTCGGGCTCCGGGAGCAGCACGCGGAGCCCTGCACCGGCCGCACGCTCCTGCTGCTCGCCAAGGTGGGGGACAGCAAGGGCACCCAGGGAGGGGGGTTGGACACTGGGGAGGGGTGGGGACCGATGGGAAGGGATGGAGACACCAGAGAGGGATAAGGACCTTGGAGAGGGGTGGGGACACCAGGGACGAGTGGGGAACCTTGGGAGGGAATGGGGACACCAGGGAGGGATGGAGACACCAGAGAGGGATGGGGACACCAGGGATGGGTGGGGACCTTGGAGAGGGCTGAGGACCTTGGAGAGGGCTGAGGACATTGGGAAGGGAATGAGGACCCTTGCGGAGGGTGGGCGTTCTGGGGAGGGATGTGGATCCTTGGGGATGGACAGGGATCTTGAGGAGGGATGCAAGCACCAGGGAGGGATGGGAACCCTTGGAGAGGGATGGGGATCCTTGGGTATTAATGGGGATCCTTGGGTATTAATGGAGACCCTTGGGGTGGGTGTGGGATCTGCAGAGGGATGGGGACCACTGGGAGAGACAAGGATTGTGGGGAGAGCTGGGGAGGCCAGGGAGGGTTTGGGACTTCAGGGAGAAACCCCAGGAAGGACAGAGACTTCTGTGAGTGATGTGGACCCTGTGGAGAGCTGGGAATGGAGGCCAGAAAGGCAGGAGACCCTGGGGAGGGACAGAAACCCCTGGGAATGATGGGGACCCCAAGCAGGGCAGACCCATTCCTGCCCCTGTGCCACACACCCTGGGCTGGCTCCTTCCTGTGCCACTTGAGGCCAGTCCTGCTGTCCCCAGGCTGTGCCACCACAAACTGGGCACAACACAGGGGCAGAATTTGGGTCCCATCACCCCTCCAGCTACTCCGCTTTTCCCACTCCAACCCCTGAGCCCTGGGGGTCCAGGGGAGCAGCCAGGGTGCTCTAGGGGGTCACACCAGAAGGGACACAGCAGTGTGACCCCTTCCCTGCGTGGGACAGGCTCTGCAGAGCATCGGGAACCTGGGGCTGCAGCTGGGGCAGGGCAAGGAGCCGTGGATGGCCCCGCTGAACGCCATCCTCCTGCCCAGTGTCACCCGTGTCCGGGCCTTCCTGGATGCCCTGGTCACCGTGGGTGAGCGGGGACAGGGGGCAGGGAGGGGACATTGCTGGTGCCGGGTCAGTGGCATCACCCTGGTGCTGCCAGGAGCACCCTCGGGCTGTGGGAGGTGGTGGCACTTGGGGTGACACCGCTCCCTTCCTGCCATGACTGCAGTGGACGAGGTTCCAGTGCCACAGGGACATTCCCAGCCCTCGGCCACCATCAAGGAGGGTCCCCTGCACACCTGCCCAGAGGGGGGGGTGGCACTGCTGCCCCGCTTCTCCTTCAAGAAGAGGCACTTCAGGCTCAGCAGCCAGACCCTGGCCTATGCCAAGGCACCCCAGGGGCAGGTGGGTGATGCTCTGGACCCCCACCCTGTGTGGGGTGCCCAGGGCTGGGGGAAAGGACGTGGGCACAGATTTTGGGGTGTTTTGGGGTAACCAGGTGAACTGCTGCATCCCTGTGGAATGAGTGGGGGATATGGATGTAGGTGCACATATTTTGGGGTGTTTGGGGGTCCCCAGGTTCTCCATGGATATGAGTAATGGATATGGACATGGGCACATATTTTGGGGTGTTTTGGGGTATCCAGGTACATTGCTCCATCCCAGTGGAACAGGTGGAGGATATGGATGTAGAAGCACATATTTTGGGGTGTTTGGGGTTCCCCACGTATTCCATGGATATGGGCAATGGATATGGACATGGGTACAGATTTTGGGGTGTTTGGGGGTCCCCAGGTGCTCGGCTCCATCCCGGTGGAGCAGATCCGGGCAGTGGAGCAGGTGGACAAGGGCGCCTTCCAGCACCCCCACGTCCTGCAGGTGGTGGCACAGGATGGCACCGGGCAACTCCACACCACCTACCTCCAGTGCAAGGTGGGTGACCCCACCCTGCCCCAGCACCCCAAAATCCCTGGAACCCCCCACCACAGCACCCAGAGGGGCCCCAAATCCAGCTGTACCCAGGCTGTACTGGGAGCACTGGGAGTACTGAGGTCAAGGGTATACTGGGTATACTGGGATGTCCTACCCTGGCTGTACTGGGGTCTCTGGGGTACCCTGGCTCCTGCAGCCCCATCCTCCCCTCACTTCCTACCGGGCAGCTTTGCCACAAAACTGTCACTCCTGTCCCCCAGCCCTGGTGCCTATCCCTCCCTCCTCCCTCCTCCTCCCCTGCCCTGGCAGTGCCCTCGGGGGTGCCCCGTCCCTGCTGTCCCCGCAGAGCGCCCCGGAGCTGTGGCAGTGGCTGTGGGCGCTGCGCCAGGCCACCAGCGCCAACCGCGACATGCTGCCCACGTGCCACCCCGGCACCTTCCGCGCCGGCCGCTGGACCTGCTGCCTGCAGCCCACCCGTGCCGGTAGGACTGGGGGTGCCCGGGCTCGGGGTGCCCGGCAGGGGGGTGTCGGTGTCGCCGTGTCCCCACTGCTGTCGTTGGCAGTGCCCGGGTGCAGCCGTACCCACAGCGCGGTGCTGCTGGGGGAGTGCAGCGACCTTGGGGACCCCGCGGTGGCAGCGCAGAGCCTCTACGGGCACCTGCGGTGAGCCCGGGGACGGGGGGGTCCCGGGGGTCTTTTGGGTGCTGTGGGCAGGGCGGGAGGCTGCTGAGGGTCCCTGTCCCAAAGGCTGGTGGGGATTGGGGGTCCTGAGGGCGAATGTGGGGGGGCTGAGGGTCCTTTAGGGGGTGCGGGGCAGGGTGGCAGCGTGTGGAGGGTCCTTGTCCCCAAGGACAGTGGGAGTCGGGGGTCACAGGGTCCTTTGGGTGCTGACAGGCACGGTGGGACCCTGCTGAGAGTCCCTTCCTGCAGGGTGGTGGCGACCAGGGCTCCCGAGGGTGGCACAGGGGTCCCGGGGGACATTTGGGGTCAGTGGGCAGGGTGGGAGTGTCCTGAGGTCCCTGTCCCCCAGCACGGTGGGAGCTGGGTGCCCCGGGGTCCTTTGGGTGCCGGAGGGCAGGGGGGTGTCCTGAGGGTCCCTGTCCTGCAGGGCAGCGCTGGCCGGGGGTCCCGTGGGCAGCGCCGTGGCCGGGCCCCCCTGCCCGGGCCAGGCAGGTACGGGAGCCCCGCGGGGCACCGGGGCCATGGGGACCGGGGGTGGGGGCTGGCACACGCAGGCAGCGCCCGCAGACCCCTGCGGGCACCACAGGGCACTGCTGCGGCTCCCTCCACGAGGGGACAGCAGACACACGCGTGGATCGGGGCTGTGGGGGGGAGATGGTGCGGGTGGGTGCCAGGGGGCAGGCAGGGGGGTGGGGAGCGCGGGTGGGTGCCACAGGGGGCTGTGGGACACTGACCCCACCCTGGGGTGCAGGGCGACCCGCTGGGGACAGGCTGCAGGAGGTGCTGCGAGACCTGGACATCGCCCACGACGCCTTCACCCATCGCGACGAGACCCCAGGGCCACCCCCAAGTCCCCTCCCTGTCCCCAGACCCCCGGTACCCCCCAGCCTCCGCCTCTCAGCCCACCCCGGGAGGGGCAGGGACGCCAGCGGGGCCACAGAGGGGACGCGGGGACAGCAGCCCGGCACGGGGTGTATTCTGTAACACAGACATGTACATGGCACCGGCTGTGCGCGGCTCCCTGGGGCAGCGGCGGGTGACACGGGTGACACGGGTGACACGGGTGGCACAGACGCGCAAAGAGGCCACGGGTAGAAAAAGACCACGACGCTATCGCCACGAGAGCGGGGCGAGCCGGGACGGGACGGGGCGACAGACAGACACACACGGGGACACGCGGTGGGTGGCACCGGGTGGCCCGGGACGGGGGACGAGCCCGCCGGGGGGGCTGCGGTGAAGCGGCGCGGGCAGCGCGGCACGGGCGGGCCCGGGAGCCCCGAGCCCGCCTTCAGTCCTTCAGGGTGGCCTCGGACACGCCCTGGGCCAGCAGCTCGGCCAGGACGTTGTCCAGGTAGTTGGGGTCGGGGTAGCCGTGCCCCGTCAGGTTGGAGCCGAACTCGGTCTTGTGGTGGATCTCGTTCCACACCACCGTGTCCGACTCGCCCGTGGTGTTGGAGGTGCCGATGGTGAAGATGAGCCGCCGGTCCCAGGCCACGATCAGCAGCTTCAGCACCTGCGGCGGGCACGGCCATGGCTCACCCAGCCTGGCACGGACTGGCACAGCCTGGCACGGACTGGCACAGCCACCCAGTGCCCCGGCACAGCACAGCCTCAGCCCCCCAGGGTGGGATTCAGCACGGTGCCCACAGGATGCCACCTTTCCTTGTGGTGCCCCCCACCCCATCCCAGTGCGGCTGCAGCTATCCTATCCTATCCTATCCTATCCTATCCTATCCTATCCTATCCTATCCTATCCTATCCTATCCTATCCTATCCTATCCTATCCTATCCTATCCTATCCTATCCTATCCTATCCTATCCTATCCTATCCTATCCTATCCTATCCTATCCTATCCTATCCTATCCTATCCTATCCTATCCTATCCTATCCTATCCCTCCCTATCCTATCCTATCCTATCCTATCCTATCCTATCCTAGCCTATCCTATCCTATCCTATCCTATCCTATCCTATCCTATCCTATCCTATCCTATCCCGTCCCATCCCCTTTTCTTCCTCACCCCATCCCATTCCTTCCCATCCCATTCATTCTCCTTCCACCCCATCCCTTCCCATTCTATTCTCCTCATTCTTTCTCTTCCCATCCCATCCCATCCCACCCCATCCCCTACCTTCCCTTCCCCACCCCATCCCACTCCCCATCCCATCCATCCTCCTTCCATCCCTCCCTTCCCATTCGTGCCATCCTCTCTCGTTCCATCCCTGCTCTCCTTTCCCTCCCCACCCCTCGGGCTCTCACCTTCCTGCCCTTCTCGTTGTCGGGCAGGTAGCAGTGCCGTGGGAAGCCTCGTGCCGTGAATTTCTTCCCGGGATTGGGATGCTCCGGGCCCTGGGTGGCCGTGGGGACAGGGGGTGAGCGGGGACACGGGGTGGGGGTGTCACCAGCCCGCCGGGGGGTCCCCCCTCACCTGGATGCCGGTGGGGATGTCGTAGACGATCCGGATGGTTTTGGAGTCGGTGTATCCCGGGAGGGAGTGGGGGATGAGGTGGAACTCCATCTTCCCGGGGGGCTGCGTGCCCGTCTTCTCCCCGTAAATGGCCTTACAGGTGGGGCACTGCAGGCTCCCGTCCTGGGGCACCCCGGGGCCTCAGGGGTGGCACCCATCTGGACCCACCCAGCACCCACCTGGACCCCCCAGCACTCCTTAACACCCACCCAGCACCCACCTGGACCCTCCCAGCACCCACCTGGACACCCCCAGCACTCCTCAACACCCACCCAGCACCCACCCAGCACAGACCTGGACCCCCCAGCACTCACCCTACCCCCACCTGAACCCCCCAGCACCCAGCCAACACCAACCTGGACCCCCCAGCACCCACTCGACACCCACCCAGCACCCACCTGGACTCCACCCAGCACCCAGCCAACACCTACCCATCACCCACCCAATGCCCACACCCACTCCAACACCCACCCAACCCCCCAAACCCAGCCAGCATCTACCTGGAACATTCCAGAACTCCCCAGCCCGCACCCAGAAGCCCTCACACCCACCCAGCGCCCACCTGGACCCCCCAGCACCCACCCAGCACCCAGCACGGCCCCGGCACGCCGGCAGCCCTGGGCTCTGACCTTGTTGCCGTTGTTGTACATGGCCAGCAGGCACAGCAGGTGGTACATGTGCCCGCACTTGCCCAGCTTGCCCACCAGCTCGGGCTTGATGCCCCTGGGGCTCAGCACGCCCTCGTAGCCGGAGGAGGTGACCAGCCGCTCCATGCAGATGGTGCAATCCTGCCGGGAGCGGCATCAGCGTCCCGGGGGGACGAGGGGGCACCCCCGGCGCTCTGCCCCAGCCCCCCGGAGCCCCCCGAACCCCCACTCACCTCATCCGGCGGGTTCTTCACCTTCTGGATGTAGCGGCGCACCACGTCCTCGGGGGTCTTACCTGAGGGCAATGCCATCAGAGCCCGCCCGCGGTGCCACAACCCGCCTGCCGCGGGACGGGGACAGCCCTGCCACCCCCTGCCAGCACGGCAGGGACAGCGTGGCACAAAGCAGCGACGGGCAAACCCCGGGGTCCCTCACTTCCCCCTCCGTGTCCCCCGTCCCTGACCCCGCGGGGACATCGGTGGCTCCTTACTCTTCTTGAGCTGCTTCTTTTTGGTTTTCCTGCAGATGCCGTTGACGCCGGGGACAGGTTTGATGTCGCTCTTGCTGACGGGCGGGGGGTGCAGGATGGGTTTGGGGGCGCGGGTCAGGCACACGGGCAGCCCGGCGGCGCACATGAGGATCCCCGTCATCCCTGCGCCGGGAGAGCGCCTGTCTGTCCGTCTGTCCGTCCTGCCCACCCCCCGGCAGCGTCCCCCGCTCCCTCCCCACGGTGTCACCCCGCGGTGACACCGGCGCTGGCCGGGGCCCGCTCACCTGCGAGGGCGGGATGGACGGGGCCGGTGCCGTTCAGGTTCTTGACCGGGAGCGCTGGGACCCTGCAGGACAAGGGACAGGAAGGGCTGAGCCGGGCCGGCAGGGCTGGCACTGTCCCCTCCCGCATGGCATGGCCCGGAGCAGTGTCCTGCCCACGGGACACAGGGCAGTGTCCCCTGGGGGGTGCTGGCACTGTCCCCAGGCAGTGTCCTCCCCACGGGACACAGGGCGAGGTGTCCCCTCACCAGCTTGGAGGGCTGCTGTCCCACCCCAGGGGACTGTCACCCAGTGCCACCTGTGCATCTCTGGGCTCCCAATGGCACTGGTGGCATCCCGTCCTCCTCGACCAGGGCGGAGACCTTGCCAGGGTATCCCGATGGTGACACCCGTGTCCCACACCCCCGCGGGGACGTGCCACCACTCGTGTGCCCCCCAGGGACCCCCACCCTCCTGGGGCTGCCAGCAGCAGGTGGCACTGGTGGCACCGTGCCCAGGGCAGCGTGTGGGGCAGGGACTGGTGTGTCGGGGACAGGGCTGGAAGGGGACGTGTCCATAGGGGTGGGATGGACAGAGGGAAGGAAGGAGGGATGGACAGAGTGATGTGGGACAGGGAGGGAGGGAGGGAGGGAGGGAGCACCCCCAGCAGTGGCATCACCCCTCCCTGACCCCAGGGATGAGTTCAGCAGGCTCAGCCCCACACGAGGCTGTTTTCCCTCATTCCCAAAGCTCCTCTACCCGCACCAAGGCCAGGGCAGCCATGGGGCCCAGCCCCTCCTCCCTGTCCGTAGGTGTGTGCCAGGACAGGGACAGCGATGGGGACAGCGACAAGGACTGCTCAGCCCAGCACACGGAAGGAAAGCAGGACGTCAGCAGGGGAAGGAAATGTGCCAGGAGCTGCTGGGGGCTCAGAGGAGCCACCTGTCCCCCAGCCTAGTGCTGACAGCCCTGAGGGGACACCAGGCCAACCCACCATGGGGTACAGCCGTGGAGATGTGGGTGCCAGGACAGGGACACCCACCAGGACACAATTCCAGGGGTTTGCTCGCCCACCTGGACCCCCCTGGTGAATCATTCCCACCACGGAAGGGACGCTGAGGCTGTGGCCTCTCCCCACAGCCGTGCCCTCCCAGGGATCTGCCCGGTGGCATCAGGCCAGGAGCTGGGTCACACAGCCCATGCTGGCCTTGGGGACACCATTCCCCTGGGAGCAGGCACTCCATGTGCTGCAGCTGCCATGGATAGCGTGGCACAGCCTGGCACGGCACGGCACGGGTCACCACATCCCCTCTGCAGGGATCCAAGCACCACCAGGACCACCCAGGGTGGTGCCCCCGGGGCCAGAGGTGGCACAGTGCCACCAGAGCTGGGGCTGCCCGCAAGGTGACAGCAGGGGACGAGCCACACCAGCACCCCTTTTGCCCCTCTGTGTGCCCACCCCCGCACCCCCCCGCCCCGGTGACACCCCGCTCTGCCCTCCCCACGCTCCCAGCTTACCCGGGGGGGACAGCGGCCCTGGCGCCCAGCCCAGCCCCGCGCTGCGTCCCGGGCCGGTTGAGGTTGTTGAGTCCGGGCAGCGCCGCGCTGGGCACGCCCTGCCCGGGGCCGAACCCCGCGGCCACCCGCAGCCCTTCACCCTTGGCCGTGCCCCCCGCCACCACCGGCGGCGCCGCGGTCCCCGCGGGCCACAGCGCTGCCCCGGCGAAGGTGCTGCTCTGGCGGACGGCGCCGGGGTAGAGTTTGCGGCGCTGGGACGCCAGGATGGCGTTGGAGGCGGCGCGGGTGCTGTTGACCAGCAGGCACTGGGGGCACGAGCAGGGCGTGCCCGTGCTGGCGCCCACCGGCCAGGACTGGGATTTGGGGATGGAGCCCATGGTGAGCGGGTAGGCCAGGTCCATGCGGCGCCGCAGCCGCCGCTTGCGCTGCGTTTGCCGGTTCATTTGGGACATGCTGCTGAAGTAGATGAGGTAGCAGAAGCCCAGGGAGGAGAGGTCCAGCCAGGGGTGCTGCTTCTCGTAGGCGTTCTGGATGGTGATGCAGATGTCCATGTCGTAGGGAGTCCAGGAGTTGTTGTCGTTCTCCCACTCCCACACGATTCCCTTCCCCGGCGCTGAGGAGGGGTCGTAGAAGTTCCTCCGGACGGGGCGCATGGTCCCTGGGGACACAGAGATGGGGGTGACACCAGTGGGGGGACCTTTAGACATCCCCCTGTCCAGCTTCCAGCCCAGCATCCCGCAGGGACTGGGGTGCAGAGGTGTCTTGGGGTGCAGCAGCCACTCTGCCCCTTCACTGAAGCCCCCTTTGCACCCCAAAAGTGTTTCCCTAGGGATGAATCCAACCCTCATCCCACCCTTGGTGCCAGTGGCTCAGACTGCCACCCCTCGGGATCATCCTCCTGGATGTCCTGGGAAGGCCGATGCTGCTCAGCCAATGTGGGAAATTGATTTGTAGAGAATTCTCCAAGGTGAGAATTCAAAATTTGTAGAGAATTCTCTCACCCTTCACACGAGACTGAAAATAGAACAAAAGTTTTCAAAAATGCCTCTCAGTTATTCTACCTCTGGGTCAGAAAAGGGCATAATCCAACAAATCCTTGTGCTTGCCCCAGCTTTTTTCCATCCCTCTGGTCCAAGCCCTTCCCCACCCTCCTGTCCCCGTGGCCATCCCGGAGCAGGGGAAGCATTTCCCGGTCAGCAGAGATTTCCTGACAGCTGCTGGCTCTGGCAGTGGCACAGCCAGGGATTGTCCCACGCAATCCCGGCCCCTCGCCGCTCTTTTGGGATGGAGCTGGATCCCGCAGCCCCCCGGAGCTCCCCAGGAGCAGGGAGGCATCGCAGCCCTCTCCTCGAGTGCCCCCCCGGCACGGGGCCCGTCTATCCCCTGGCCGGCACCGTTTGCCCGGCTCGATTAGCGGCGCTAATTAACGGTCATTAATCATCGGCCGCAGCAGGCAGCAGAGCCAGGCCCCAGCTGCCGCCTTGTGCTGAGGCAGCGCTGCCGGGACCGCGGGAGGGGAGCGGGGGGGCCCTGCTGCCCGCCCCCCAAATCCACCCCACTGCTGGCTCCGGGCACCCACAGCACACCCCACTGCTGGCTCCAAGCCCACTGCCCCCAGCCCCACTGCCCCCCATCCCTGTACCCCACTGCCCACTGCCCCACTGCCCTCCAGCCCCATCCCGTTGCTCGCTCATGTCCAAATCCCACATCCCACCCATAAACACATCCCAGACCCACTGGTCCTTGCAAGTGCATCCCACGTCCCCCTGCCCCCCACATCCCCATCCCAAATCCCACAAAATGCCCCTCACATCCCATTCCAAACCCCACATCCCATTCCAAACCCCACATCCCATCCCAAACCCCACATCCCCATCCCAAACCCCACATCCCATCCCAAACCCCACATCCCCATCCCAAACCCCAGAAAATGCCCCTCACATCTCCATCCCAAACCCCACAAAATGCCCCTCACATCCTGCATCCCCAGAGGATGAAGGACCAGCCCATTTCCCTTGGCACACACAGCTCCCAGTCCCCAAGGGCCACCAGCTGTCCCCATCCCCCAGTCCCTGTCCCCTCTGCCAGCCATGCCAGAGCCACAGGGCCAAGCCAGTGTCCCCAGGGCCACCGGGAGGGGCCGCACGTCCCCGCTCTCGGAACGGGGTCACCTCGTTTCGCTTGTCACTGGGTTTCTCTGTCCCCAGGCACTGCGTGGGCCAAGCCCCCTGAGCCCCCAGCCTCGTGCCAACCCTCCCCATGTCCCCATGTCACAGCGGGCACCAGGAGCGCCCTCAGCTCAGGGGACCCTCTTGTCCCCGAGCACCACGAGCCATGTGGCAGCCTCCAAACCCTGGGCCCCACCCCTGGGGAGAGCTGATGGACGGAGATGGACACGGGGATGGGGCACACAGGGACCACAGTGTGAGGACAGTGGCTCTGTCCCCTGCCATGACACCCCTGGGGCCATCAAGGTCCCTCTCTCCACATCCCTGTCCCCAGGTCCTGCTGGCACAGGGACTGCGGTACCCAGGGACATCCTGGCAAGAGTTGTTTTGTCACCCCAAATCCATTTGTGGCCCCACCACAGGCACAAGTCCCCAAGGGATACCCAGCGCTGTGGCCAGGGGATGCGATGCCAGCTGCTGTCAGAGGATGGGCCCTGGCCAAAGCTGGCAGGAGGTGGCATGGGGACAGCCAGGGTGTCCCGGTGGCTCCCGCAGCTCTGAGTCAGCACAGACCCTCCGGGTCGTGCCGGTGTCCTCGCTGACTCAGGGCTGCAGGTGCCAAGCTGCCCTTTGCCAAGTCCGTGACCGGCTGGGGATGGACTCAGAGCCAGGCTGGATGGCAGAGGCAGGTGGCACATCCCTGCTCCGGTCCCCATCTCAGTCCCCAGCCCACACTCGGGGTCACTTGGCAGCACTGGGGACTGGCAGTGATGGCCTCAGTGGCTGGGCAGAGGTGCCACAACCGTGGGGGTGCTGCTGTGGGTGTCCCCAGGCAAGGCCAGGGGTGTCACCTGAGGTGTGGCAGGTCCCCTGCCTGCTCTGCCTGGCCTGGAGCGGATCCTGCCCCGGGCAGGGATGCAGGGACGGGCAGGAATGCACCCACAGTGGCACATCCCCCACAGCACAGCCAGCACGTGCTGGTTTAATGGGTCACACTGTGACAGGGACACGTTAATGGGGTCTGGGCTCGGTCCCAGAGTGGGACCAGCTCTGATTTCCCACAGGATTCATGGCCTGGATCGCTGCTGCAGCACCAGCCAGCACAGCTGCAGCCACCCCAGTGCCCAGCACTGCCCCAGGGGCCAGCTGGGGCCTCCCCACCTCCCCGGGCATGGAGCAGCTCGGAGGGGAGGATGAGGGGACAGAGGGACACTGGGACACTGGGACACAGCACAGCACAGCAGGTGGGGACATGTTCCTCGGGGATGGGGCCCGTGGTAGATGGGAAAGGAAAGGGATGGAGGAGCCTGGAGGGGCCCGTGGGGGCACTGGAGCCCTGGAGAGAGGGAACAGATGGATGGACAGATGGAGGGAGGGATGGAGGGAGGGATAGATACAGGAATGAAAGTAAAGATACACAGGGAAGGAAGGAAGGAAGGAAGGAAGGAAGGAAGGAAGGAAGGAAGGAAGGAAGGAAGGAAGGAAGGAAGGAAGGAAGGAAATTATGGATGAATAAGTAGAGATACACTGAATAGGAGCGAGGGGAAGATGGATGATGGATGGATGGATGGATGGATGGATGGATGGATGGATGGGATGACAGACAAACAGACATACAGTAACAGATCCACGGATGAATGGAACAACAGACAGATAGACAGAGGGACAGGGAAGGGATGAAGGGATGGATGGGAGGATGGGGGGATGGAAGGAAGGAAGGAAAGATGGAAGGATAGATGGAAATAGGGTGGGATAGAAGGACAGAGGCAAGGAGGGAGGGATGTGCCAGTGGGTGGATGGATGGATGGATGATGGATGGATGGATGATGGCTGGAGAGGGGGGAGCGAAGGCAGTGTGGATGGATGGCTGCATGCACGGATGGACAGATGGAAGGACGGATGTTCCTGGCTCGATGCCAAGCCCTTACCCGTGTCCTGCCGGAACTGATGCATGGACTGGAGGTCGATGACGTAGGGCGCCAGCTGGACATCGACCTGTCCCAGCACCACGCTGCCGCGGGCGTCCTCCTTCAGCACGTTCTCGATGTGGTGGCACACGGCGGCCGAGTAGGGCCGCCAGCGCCCGTGCTCGTTCAGCCACTCCCACACCACCACGCGGGCCACGTTCTGCGGGGGGAACCCCAGGCCCCCCGAGACCAGCATGGCCCCCGAGCCCTGCCGCGCCATGCCCGGGGCGCGGGGCTCACCCGGGGCCGCTCCGAGCGCCGCTCCCGGCCCCCGCGGGCCG